ATCGCTCGATGTTTTCTTTACGAGCAAAGCTTAGGTCTTAGTCTGCTGCCTTTCCTCGCTGACAGCGACTTGAAGTTTCAAACCTGACCTGGCTGCCACGCCAGCCGCAGTCGGAATGTTGATAACATTCTCCACTTCCTCCTACAGTCCTCAACGTCAGCCAGACTTGTATATCTCTTTCAGGAAAGAGGAAGCCACTGGATGGATTTTGAAAACTTTCCGTTTTCAATTCCGTTGTTCGAGTAACTGTTTTCTTGTATATAAAATCTTGTTACCTGGATGTTTAACCTTCAACGGCATAGTTAACATTTGACTCACATTTGGTTTACGCGGAATGGATCATATGAATTGATGATTAGAGGCGGCAATGGCATAAAGACGAAAAGGCTTCAATGACGGAGAAACAATTTAGAAGACTGCAAAATTACAAATGTCCAGCACCAATGTTCAGTTTAAAGTTGTGGATGATGAAGAAACGTCTAGTCAAACAACTGATGATCCGTACCCCTCCCCCACCTGTGAGGCACCTGGTAACTCGGAACCAGACGACAGAGCGCTGACCTGTGACCCGTGAGAGGTTCTCAAACATGTTTGAAACATTTCTAACATGCCGGTGGCGAAACCCTGTCAGCACCTTCAGATTTACCGCACAGCACTGCCAGCAGAGATGTAAAACAACACAAGATGTTCCTCCGTTCGTCAAGACACTTCTCCCATCCCCGGAGGCGTAAGATGACTGCCGTGGCAAAGTGTTTCCATCAGTTGCTACAACACACCGACTGTATGCCCTAACTTCAGCCTGGTGACCATTCTCCCTACAGACCGAATTTGTGAGTGTTTCGGCTTTTCGTCTGGCAGCCGATCTTTCCAACCGGCCTCTCTGATTATTGCCTTCGACTATAGGTGAACTTGAAAGCTACCCGTGAAACCCCATTGCGTGTGCTATTGGACCTGGGCGGGCGGTCGGGCGGCACATGCACACTGAGATCATGAGAGCCTACGAAAGATGGTCTGGCTAGCTATAGCGCTAGGAGGCTACCATAACTTTTGAAGAGAGAATGATTTGCTGAATTACCAGTGCACAGGGCTAAGGCAGAATGTACTTTGCTCTTGAACCAGGCACTGATAAAAACATATCTTCATATATCCCCAAGCAGATGCTAAGATTCATTAAGTTTTCTGGCCCCTCCCCCTTTTAGAACACGTAACTCAACCATCTCGTAATGCTTCGGTTCCCATCCCTCCAACTACCTGTATTCGGGGATTAGGTTGAGTTGTTCTGACCTGGACCATGATTTGTTGGCGGCCACTTGTTTCCTGAATGGCCCGCGGAAATGACCACTCCTCCCGAGTGTGTACTCAGCAATCCGAGCTTGTTTATCCGGCCTCGCCGCGGAATTCACGTTCATCGGTACTTAAGGGGGCCGATCAGTGTAGAACAGTGGAAGATTAAGTGGTGTGTGTTGTTTGGTCTTCCTTTGTTAGTGTTGGATGGATTTGTTGAGCACTATGAGTTTGGCATTGGCATAAGTACTGGTCTTTGCAACTCAGCACTCTTGTGTTGATCTATCATATAGCCCTTGAATGATCTTATTTGCAAGTTCTAGAGTGTTGAGTTAATTTAATGCTAATCCAAAAAAAGGCAGACAAGCTACAGATACCATTGGTTGTTTTTAGGAAATATTCACAATGTCAATGTCGCACAAAACTTATGCAGGAGCTAATGATATATTGTTCTACCTTTATCAGAGCTACATTCTTTTCTAATCCACAGTATAATAAAACTTTCTAGGCTACAGGGTCAAAGACCTTTGTCTTCTAGATCCTTACATCAGTGACAGGTAACAGGGTTGGACAAGTCCCATTGCCCACTTGCCCAGGGCAAGTAAAAGTACTGTTCGGGCAAGTAAATATTCCCCAGTACTTGCCCGATTTACATTTTTTGGATGCAAAGTATTAGCTCCTGCAGTATTTCAACCAAGTTTCAAACAATTTTGATGAATAAAGCATCCAGCATTATAAACTCTATAATACAATAATTTTCTTTCTGCTAGTAAAATGCAGAAAAATGCGTCATATTTTGGGCAAGTAACAAGTTGGTTTGGGCAAGTGGAAATGACCATGTACTTGCCCGATAGGGCAAGTGGATTTTTGAAAACTTGTCCAACCCTGGGTAAGGTGTTGGTATGTTGCTGCCTGGGGCGTACTAGTTGACCAGGGCATTCTGGGTCAAAACAGCTGGACCTTTCAATGCTTTGGAAAGTCAAGGTTGAACAAATTGTAGGTGCAACTCTACGTAAGGTATTGAAAATTCAAGATTGCTTCATCTACTAATATGGTTCAAGCGTAAACAGGGCATGCTCCTGTGTACTCATCTGGCAAAAGTTTTGTACACAAGACAATCCATCAGTATCGCCTGAAATGTGTTTACGATTTCTTCTGTCTTCTTGGTGGACCATTGTGTTGCAGATTGGTATTGGGGCATTACTAACTATCAGCAGAGTAGATGAATAGAATCAGGATTGTACTGTTCTATTGTTATGTCAAGGCATGCCACTAGGATTCAGTTGTTTTCGCTTCTAGAGGTTGTTTTGAACTGTTTTCAAAGGCATAAATATTTGTTCAACAGATTAACATCTTTAAACTTCTTTGGGATTTTCCAACGTGTAGACGAGTTGATCTTCGTCTTCACACCTCTTGTGTACACTTCTCACCTGAGCAAACTGCAAAGGGTGAACCTGAGATGCAGATTTCATGCTTCTTGGCTCAGTTTTTCTAGCCTCTACCAGGCATCAGAGGCAGCTGGAACAGTAGACAGATAACATGCCAGGGGAGTTGGTCTGCTAAACGAGTACAGTTTTCACTGAGAGCAGAAAACTGTACTCCTGTAGCAGACTAACTCCCCTGGAATGTTGATCTGTCTATTTGGCCAATTTCTACTCTTGTCAGCCACTTCTGAAGCCTGGTAGAGGCTAGCTAGGCATTAGGGGTCTTCCAAAGAGGGCACATTTTCCCAACCTGCAGACAGAGACAATATTGTGTGAGATGTGTCCTGCTGAGAAGTCGATGAGGCGAGAAATCATGGTCTGATCTCTTTACACCTGGATTAGACAGTTTTCACACCTTTCAGACAAAGGGGGTGTTTGTGGAACAAATCATGCATAATCAACTGGGCTGATAGACAGTCTTCCCTGTCTTGGCTTGTAAAGTGTAGATCTGGGTGTAGACATGGTCTGTATTGCCATATAAGTGCATAATAATAATAAAAAAAAGGTCCATCATGGATTGGAAGACCAGGGATCTCACCAGGCATTGCCAGTGGATCAGAAAAGGCCGGTTCAGTTCTACTATCTAGTTTAGCTATTAAAACGAGCTTCGAATTCTGATTGAAAGCTTCTGATATGACATGCAGACATTCACATAGAAATGCTTTGCATGACTTGTGACTACACATGACACCAGTACAATATGACAGTCAGGAGTAGATCTATTTAGGCTAATTACTACAAATGGGCAAGGATCCTGAGTTAATTTTTCCCAGTGAAAACTCCTCCCTTTTCCCTCTGTTGTTATCATATCTTGCACCCACCCCAGCCTCCCACAGTTCAGGCAGTTGCACTAATCACCAGAACAAGTGTTTCTGATTTCTATGTAGGTCAGGCCGATTGTTGCCCTCCAGCCAGGCAGCCACCACTCACTCATTGTGCAGGAAAACTTTCCTGATTGGATTATCCCAGTCAACATCAAAAACCTTGTGCTGCTTCAGAAGGACACTGCCATGTGGGAACAGTTAGGCTGACTCAGGTTAATGACCTGTTTCTGGGCTATACCTGGGCTATTTATTGGTTTTGGTGAAAATTTTGGATATCAGAATACTGTAGAGTAAAGTAGAGTGCAGATCTCTTTAATTTGGCCAGGTTGGAAGATCTCTTCCAGTTGGGACACTTCTGTCCTTTTCGCCTTGTACTAGTTGTAGCCCAGTACTTGCCAAGAACACAAATATCTTATAGTGGGCTAATGTTTTGTGTTATCATAGTGGGCTAATGTTTTGGATATCATGATAGTGGACTAATGCTTTGGGACATCATGATATTGATAGCTAGTGCCTATGTTTCTGAATGTCAGGATAGTGGGCTAATGTTTTTTGATACCAGAAAACTGGGCTAATGTTTTTGGATATCAGGAAAGTGGGCTAATGTTTTTTGACATCATGGTGCCTCTACAAAACATACTGTACTAGCATTCTGAAACAATTGTGGCAATCTCTTTTTCTCTCTGCCTCTTTGGTGATCAGTAGTCATGAACTTTTCCATTTTCTTTCTTTTATCAAATTTTAGGCAAGAACTCTGAAGTCCAGGTAATAAACTTATAGTGGCTGATAGTCCAGGCCTGGTTTGGGTTACTGCCAGCAGGGTGGCTGCCACCCAGGAAAATCAATTCATCTCAGATGGACTCAGCAAGTCTTGTGGTTATAAAGCTGAGTAGCCTGGGTGCCAGACTGTTGCCAGGGGTGGACCGTTGCCAGGGGCAACTAGTATACTGGTTAGTTCCTTGGTTCTGGGCCAACCTGTCCCTATTAGACAAATGTTAGAGGAAATTTTACCACAGCCTTGTGGTTGTAAACTTCCTAAGCCTAAGGAGCTTTAAATTACTAGTATTTTAACCTCCTTGGCTAGCCTGGGTACCAGACTGTTGCCAGGGCACTATGCAGGCTAGCTTCTTGACTCCAGGGCCAACAGGTCCCCAAGAAATTTTTACCTCAGACAAACCTCAGTTATTTGAGAGTGAGACTTGGAGCAACAGGGTCTAACTGGGGACTGTGCCATGCGTTGACCCTGGCAAGAGCCTGGTATCCAGACTAAAAGCAGTGTGCTGACCCCATCAGAGCTGTATCTGGAATGGATAAAACATAGCCAGGGGGCCTAAACAGGACTACCCTGCATCTAGTGTTGTCTGAACACATGAATAAGGTGTGCAGTGTTGAAGCTATGAAACCCTAGATGGGTGGGAAAAAGTAAGACAATACTCAAGTTGACAGCAGGCTGAAATTGCCATGATAATGTTGAAGAGCTGGCCAATTGCAAGTTTATGTCTGAGGTGTCAACTTCTTTCACTAGTACTGCTGTCAAAGTTTATGTTATAACATTATTCTGAAGAATAACCTTACATAACCGTACATGTATTTTAACTTGACATTCTGTGACAGATTCTGTGTTAGATTAGAGTTTCACCTTGCCAGTTGTGCATCTGCATTCTAGGAAAACCTTGCAAAACCCCTTTCTGTAACATGGCAGGTGTACATGTTAAGTCTTCCCTCAAGACTTTTAATAATGCTCAGTTTTTACAAGGAATTATTTTGTATATTGACTTTGATTAAAAAAAGTGTTGTGTATCATATCTTTGTTGCTGTTATCTAGTTCTTGTTTATCATGGTAAGTCCCAATATCAAATAACACTCCATTTTCTACTTTCTTTCTGATCAAACTTGATAATGTGTAACCTTTTTCTAGATATTTAAAGCAGATGACATTCCAAGAATAATGATCATAGTTGTTATCCCAGTAGATGTACTGTAGAGAATCCATTCAAATTTGAGCCTGCAAAGTCACCCTGCGGGTGTGTCTACTGAATAACAATGTCTTTTTGGATGAAATAAATATTTCACTTTGCCATCTTTGTCCAGGAATAATTCTTGAGAACAAAATGATGTAAGTAAGTACATAGACTAGTACTACTTGAACATGTGTAAAAGGTTGGAGCAGGAATTTTAATGTAATGTATTCTGCCTTAATCGAACATTGCATCAGTGTAATTTGTCTGTCTACATTCCTTCTCTAAAGTGTTGGTTTTAGAAGTAAGCCCACAAATTTCATGGTGGACCCTGGGAGAGTAGAGGAGCCAGAGAGTGATAGACAGAGTAAATAAACAGAGGAAGGACACTTTACTTACCATCCTGGCAGAACACCAGGGGAATCCTGTTTGTTTTCTTGACTTTGTCAACAAATTCTTTACAGTTGGTCGCAAATCCTTTCCTTGTTTAGCAATTTGCTGCTAGTTGGCTCTCAATTACCCGATAATTTGTAAGGTAAGTGCTGCTTACCAGCTCTTTCACTACTTTGTTTATTTGAGATCTGTGTCACTAGCTGAGGTTTAGGCAAGGAGTTGGTTTAGGGAACTCCTTGTGACCAATACGATACAGTATCTTGTATTTTGTCCTTTCATTTCTTGTTAATGTTTTTCCCATTTAGATGATGTTTTGGTAAAGAACTGTTACAGTTTACTACCCAGTGTGTAGCACGTTGGAAAGCTGGATTGTATTGTGCACAACACTTCAACAGTTTGTACTCGCATGATATTCAATGATATCCTGTCTATAGTTTTCAAATACGAAATACATTACATGTATCTTGTATTTTGTCCTTGCAATTCTCGCATTTCCCATTAATATGATGGTATGTAGTTTCGAAAAGGGTTCAAAAAGGACTAATCCACTTGTAAGTTGAATTCCAGTGTGTTAACATTAGGTTTACTGTTGTCCCAGGTATCTCTGCGGCATCCTTGTGCAGTTTCCACTTCCACAGTTGTGACAGCAAGCACGTGACTCCACACTGTCCTCATAGAACAACCAGTGGAAGAATAGCTCTTCAGCGAGCTAAAACTGGATTGAGAGCTAAAACTTTCCTTTGTCCTCCCATGTCCAGGTATCTCTGCAGCATCCTTGCGCAGTTTCCATGTCCATGGTTGTGACGGGGAGCATGTGACGTTACGCTGTCCCCATGGCACGACCATCAGTATCCAGCGCGCCATGTACGGCCGGCAGCTGCCCAGTCTGGAGATGTGCCCATCCTATGCACGCAGTGCAACCCTGTCTGCAGCAGAGGCGGCTAAAGCTGCAGCACAGAAACTTCCCATCGACGAAAACACCAACTGTGATTCACCGACTTCTTTACAGGTGAGGCCATTTAAGTTTGAGATACTAAACTGGTCAGCTGTTACAGAAATGGATAAGGCAGCAAAAAGCTGCCGCACAGAAGCTTCCCATCAGTGAAAACACCAACTGTGATTCACCAATGCAACATCTTTACAGGTGAGGCATATCACATACATTTTTTTTGTTCAAGTTCTAGATGTTTCCTTTCAGCTATTACAGAAATGGCTAAGGCAGTCAAATCTGACACTCAGACACTTCCCATCAACGAAAACACAGTCTGTGATTCACCAACATCTTTACAGGTAAGGCCCATTATAAAGTATTTTCGTTCAAGTTCTACTAAGCTTTTACCTAGTTCTAGGTCCAATGTACAAAGCTTGGTTGCCAGACCTATTTTAGTGGCCAAGTTTTTTGGATGAAAGAGACTTGGTTGGTACCTGAAATAGGCTTGGTAACCATGAGATAAATATAAATACACAGGCCAGTCCCCAGTGGGTCTGGTGACAGATTTCCTTGGTGACATGTTGGCCCCCGCAACAGTCTGGCACCCAGGCTAGGAAAATGTGAGTGTTATTACTTTATGCTCTGAGCTCCATAGGAAGAATTCCATACATCTGCATTCTGAAGATAATTAATGGTGCCAGACTGAATATTGTAGTTCATTGCAGCTTAGCTTCTTGTGATTGAAATTCGTATGTCACTACATTTCTCTAGGTTCTTTTCATTCTAATTATCCCCCATTCAAGTACATCATTTCAGATACATTGATTCACTGGGAGCCACCCCATTGTTTAGCAAGGGAGTATATCATACCACCTGTTCTATAACAAGCACCAGACAAAAGACGTTGTGTAGGGACCCTCCAATGGGCTGTTTTCTTGGTAATGACTCACATCCACATTCAATCGGCAGATAATTGGGTTGGTTGTTCTTTTGAAACTTGAGCAGTTTGGGCTATTGTTCTGTGCCCCTCTCTGGTATTACATCAATTGTTCACATTACTCTGCATTCTTCATAGTACCATTACAAGGGTAATCCACCAGATCTACAGTGTACAGCTGCAGACATCAGAGATTGCACTCCAGCTGTATTCTCTGAGCAGATGTAGGGTCTGGCCTAGCATTTAAATAGACATGTTTTACCTTTGCCAAAAAGGTTATGTTTTGTAGCATTTCTGTGACTGTCTGTGTGTTTGCGTGTGTGTGTGTCTGTCTGTCTGTCTGTATGTGTGTGTCAATGGATTGTCTTGATATTTGGTATGAGGATAGGTCTTTTTGGAACATCAAATTGATTAGATTTAGGGTCACTGTTGTACTCTTGGTATATTTCACTCCATACCATTGGTATAAGTATACCTCAAACCCTGAGTTTCTCCCACTTTGTGAAAGCTATGTTTTTTCAAGGTAGCTCCCAGCAATAGCCTTGCTCCCAGAAAATGCATGTGGCCTGCAGTACAGCCATTGAATAGTGATGTTAGTTCTTCTCATTGCTTGCAGCTGTAATGTATAATGTTATGACCCTAAACCGCTTTTTCACCCAACCAGAAAATTACATGTGTTCCCTGAATGTTCTACCTCCCACCCGAAACAGCTTCACATTCTCACAACAAACTACAACCTTGGTACGATAAGGTCCATCTGTTTCCTATGGAGGCATGTGGGACTTATCAAAGTATCAGTCATCTAAAAGATATGAAGAGGCAGACAAGCTGATATCATTACACATGATTAAGTTTACTATGAAATATAAGAATATAGGGATCAAAGTATCATAATTACAAAGAAAAGATATAGTAAATGATAAACTGTTGCACCTTTCTTTGATGATCACCAAGTTACCAGTGTAGACTTCTGCATTGGCAAAGTGTAGGAGACCGACACATAAAGTATGGCATAATGACTTGGTTTCCAAATTGGCTGATTAATTGTGGGAAAGTAAAGGTACTTAAAAAGTTAAATCATGAGATGTCACTTTTCATAGATTGATATGTTCATGGAAAATGAGTCTCTGACTGTATTATTGATTCCGTACCTTCACCTGGGCTGAGGTCCCTTAGATCACATTAATATTTCAATTACACTACTGATCTATGTTGGCTGAGGTCAATACCTACTCAAATTCCTGCCTGATACTGTAGCAGACCTTTTGGGGATCACATTAAATCACAGTTGTGGGGTCAAAACTACAGTAATTCAATGTTGGGGCATGGAAGGGCTGTTCATTTCACTGGGGATGGCTTCAAAAGTTCTGGGATCAAAAAAAAGTCTCCCTTGAGACTATAAGCTCTTTTTAATCCTCTATCCACCCAAAATGTTGCTGTATACAATTTCCGTAACAATTCTCTATAATAATTTACTATATTTGTGAAACCAAATTTCATTATAATATAATTTATATTACATGTAGTACAATGTACTTGTAAAACAGCAATACAGAGCTTATATACAGTGATGTTACCAGTTTTATCATGTGAGAGTTACAAAGAACATTTTCAGGAGAAAGCCTTGGGTAAGACCAATCTACTTTTTTTAATGGATATTTTGAAGTCTCATCATAGGCAGCTAAGAAAATGTGGAAGTCATTTCTTGTCTTGACCTCTGTGTGCTCAAGGTCAGAGGGTTAATAGTGTTTTCCACAGAGATGTATTTCACTCAGAAAACAGCCACCAGAGTGTGACCCACCAAAGGAAAACATGATAGACAGGGCCAAAGTAGTCTTCTACCATGGGAGTGGGTGAAATGGAAAGGCTTTCAGGACCAAAAAGACTGCTTTAGATGGAGACAAACATCATACATAAACAATCTTTGAAGCGACCAGAACTTTGGGCGTCATAGACTGATGATAGAGTATTGATGTCCCTGGGCAGACCTTTTTTCATAGCCTCCTGTGCAGACTTCTAGAGGTGCAGCATTTGTTTCTTAGCCTGAGTGTCAGCCTTGTTAGCTTTCGTCCGCTCCCCAAGATCTGCTCTCTGGCAATCTGCTCTTGTTGGCGGGGAACTGATCTTGGGGAGCGGATGAAAGCTAACAAGGCTGACACTCAGGCTATTTGTTTCTACCAACCACTAAAGTTGCAAGTTTCATTGGGAGGGTCTTGGTGGTGGTGGTGGTGGTGAGGTGTAGAGCTGTAACGTTATCCACAGAGAGAGCTGTATGCCTCCCTCTCACACATTAGAGAACCTTAGCCAATGTAGCCTCTACCAGGCTTGGGGAGGCGGCTGGAAAGAGTAGAAATCGGCCAAAGAGAGAGATAAGCATGCCGTTGAAAGAACATTTTGCCAGTGCGGTTTCCAGCCGCCTCCCCAAGCCTTGTACAAATGTAGAGGCTAAGCCAATGTATAAATCACGTATCAGCACTCTCCCAAAATTCCTGAAAAAACTCTCTTCAGCTGACCTCCTTCTTCAAGCCTGGTCTGTAGAAAACTCATTTTGCAGGCTGATTTAGTGATTTGATGGAGGCCAGCAGAGTACAGCACAGTGCAGGGACTAAGATAGCCCATTCAACAAGCCAATATTGCTGCTAAGTAGCAATCTAAGGTTATAACAGCACTGTTGGTCACTAACCAACTGACCATGGGGCCTATATGTTTTAGGGTTGGTTTTACCTCCATGAAAAATGGAAGTATTGCTTTGGGTCTCTCTCTCTCTCTGTGTGTGTGTGTGTGACTGTGTGTGTGTGACTGTGTGTGTGTGTGTGACTGTGTGTGTGTGTTTCTGCATATTTCTGGTCAGTAAGAAGGCTAGATTGTGATAATATTTGATATGTAAGTAGGTCAAATTTAGGCCTCCTGGTAGCTGTCCTTGTTACTGCAGCTGAACATTTTGACTAAACAAGTTGTTTCTGTTTTCCCCAGAAAATGCTGGATGAATGTCAGAACAAGAGGCACTGCCAGGTGCAGGTGCACACGCAGGTGTTTGGAGTCGACCCGTGTCCAGGCACCAGCAAGTACCTGGAGGTCAAGTACAAGTGCAAACCAAGTAGGTCTTTTCTTTCGCAGTAGATAATGCCTGACTATATGGATGACATTTGTGCATTTGGATACTTAATTACCTCAGTAGCTTTCATACAAAGTAGTTATATGTAGGTATAAACTTTCTGGAGTTTTGAAAGAAACATACAATAACAAATTACATAACAGCTCTATATATGACCACATGCTATATTGTTTATAGACAAGCGTACACAGAAAGGCTTACATATTTACAAGGAACCCCAGCACAAATTAGTTTCCAGATGCAGATGATACACTGTATGGCACACTCTGGGTGGGAGAGTGGTCTTGTAGAACAAAAGCTACAGTTGGACATTGAAAAACTAAAGTAAGCAAAATAATACATCCAGGCTGTGGTGCAGTAGTATCCACTGACATCCCCTGATCTGTACTTTACTGGCTGTCTTCTGCTGTGTCTGTAAGACTTTGAAGTGTCTTGACATGATAAGATGTGGTGTTTACATACTTAAGAAGCACTGCACCAGGTGAGAGAGATGGGGAGTGACATGTTAGGTCAGGGACTGTCAAGGATCAGGGATCGTAAGATCGTAAGAGTTCTGTGTTGTGACAGAAATTTGTGGAAAGTCAGTTTTAATTTCTGGGCCCTTAGAGACATGATATGTTATGACATTTCTTGGAATACCTTAAAAAGGTATAACTCAAGTAGCTACATGTTGTATGGATGGATTGTCATTACATGTGGTAGGTGGGTGTGTCTCAATGAAACCTCTAAAAGATGAGATGTGGGCTCCCCAGCAGCTTGTTTTCAAGTGAATTCTTTCTATGTGTAATGTTGACTGTCCTGAGTTCTGGTTTACCCTTGTTTGGACAAGTGTGCAATGTCACCCTGGACAGGAAAGATATAAGCATTAAGGTGACCAAAGATGATAGCCAAGAAACTGGACCAACTGTTCCTTAAGAAGGTGCAGATAGATTGAAGACATGTAGTTGCCACTGTACAGGTGTGATGCTTTACTCTCCAAGCAAGAGGTTAAAGCTTTGGCATATTTTTTTGTTTTTAGTTGTGTTTTTTTTTTTCAGACTTTCATTTTTGTACTGTGGTATGTACTGTATCTTTTAATTTTACCAGCCAGATGTTGGGTGGCAAATCCTATGGATACTGCCATGCTGATGTGATACTGTATTGCAGCCACCAAAAGATCTGATTGGAGATTACGATGCTTACTTTTTGTGAGGCATGCCCGTAGCCAGGATTTTGAATGGGGGGGTTCGTCCCACTGCTTGAGGGGACCTCGAGCGCCGTAGGCGCGAGGCGAGCGCCGAAGGCGCGAGGTTCCTAGGGGGGTCCGGGGGCATGCTTCCCCGGAAAATTTTGAAAAATGAACCTTCTAAAATGGCATTTTGTGCATTTTTGAGAGGATTTCCAAGAGAAAATCAGAGATAAATTTTTATTCAATGACGAAGAGAGCAGTTTTTCTACGATTCCAGTCCATCTTTTCAAGAAAAAACTTGGACCTTTACATAAAATGTGGACCAAAAAGTGGACCTTTACATAAAATGTGGACCAAAAAGTGGACCTTTACATAAAAAGTAGACCAAAAAGTGGACCTTTGAGCCTTGTGGGGGGGTTCTTCCGAACCCCCCGAACCCCCCCTGGCTACGGGCATGTGAGGTGTAAGCTATTGGCATGCAGGTGTGAAGTGTGGTGATCGGGCCAGGGATTTGCGTTCCTAACACAGATGTGATCAGTGTACACTGGTCTGTATGCAGAGGGCAGGCTTGTATCTAGGTGCAGTGTACTGAGGGATAACACAAGCAAACCTGTGGTCAGGGCTCGAAATGCCTTTTTTTCTGCATACCTGCACTGGTGAAGGTAACATTGAAAATTAACCTGCACCAGACAAACTTACCTGCACCACTTAGAATTGACAAGAGATAAAACAGGTGTCGATATGTACAATGTAAGTTACAAAGGCACACAACCTGTAGCTACATTGTATGTAATCTCCAAGCAGATACTATTAGGCAAGAGGAGTCTACAGTATATTTCCCACCTGTATCCATTGGCCTCCAGTAAGCATTGGCCACCCCATGTATATCTATGCCCTATACACGAAGTTTACCATTATAACTACCTGTTATGGAGTATTTGAGTTTTCAAGTGACTGTGTTCTTCTAGAAAAGGTGTGTCATCAGGGGGACAGGATTGTCTTTATATCAAAAGGTGCATTCAGGGACTTAAAAAGTGTTCTTTGTGGAGTGGAGTCAATGAACTATTATGTTTCCCAAAGCATCAATCACAGTGGGAACATAATGTCCTATCTCTGATTACTTTATATATTAATCACGTTAAGTGCTGCTACAATGCAGACTTTGGCCGCTCTGCAAACATGCTGCGGGCAGCAGAACTTCCATCAAGTACTGTGTCAATTTGCATGACTTAACCTCATAAGTATCTATAAATGTCAGGATAATTCTTCCCCCAACCTGAGCTGATGTCAGTGATAAACAACTGTATGGACTGAAGGCAAGCTGGTCTTGTGGTTAGGGTTGTTGACTCAGAATTTGTAGGTTCTGGGTTCGAATCCCTGGCAGGCCACACTGTTGTGTCCTTGGGAAAGGCACTTTACACCTATTTCTTAACTCAGCTCTGGTGAAGAAAACTATCTAGCTTTGGTTAGAGATGCCCTTTCTGATGATGATATTAGTTTGAATAGACTATGGTGATATATGGTGGCACTATGTGTTATCCACAGCCTTACCAGGCTTCAGAAGCAGCTGGAAAGAGTAGAAATTGGCCAATAGTAAAGGAGTACAGTTTTCTACTCCTGAATTCTCCTAGCATGTCTATCTATTTGGCCAATTTGTACTCTTTCCAGTCACTTTTGAATCCTGGAAGAGGCTGACTTTCCCTACAAACCATGTACTTTAGTTTCCATCCCTCAGGACCCAACTGAACTGTCCCCACCGCGGGTTAAGTACAGGTTACCTGTGAACAGGTAAAACACATTTGGCGCTCTGCCAGGGTGTCACCTGAAGTGGGGCTTGAGGGCTGACAGTGGGTTTTACCTGGCATCAAACACTCCTCGGACCACCCACAGCAAAAGTTACTGTGATATGCCTCCACTGTGTAAAGCTAGTCTTCACCAGACTCCTTTGCATGCTGAATAAATAGTAGAAATGGGCCTAAAAAGAATGTAGCTGGCTAGGGGAGTTGGCCGGCCATAGAGGGTCCACTTTGCCGGCATGCTACATTCTTTTTAGGCTGATTTCTACTGTCTATTCAGCCTGCAAAGGAGTCTGTTGAAGACTAGTGTAAAGCACCTTGAAGAGGGTTGTCCAGAAATAGTAGAAGGACATCAAAGAAAAACCTAGTACAGTAGCTTGAAGGTCATATTTGTTTAACCTTGACCCTGTTATACATTGTTTGAACAACGAAAGTAACATGCTCCGAAGAAAATTAAGAAAGAAATTTGGCGTAAAAATGAGGGAAGTAGTACATTGTAGGTTAAAGATTTTTTTTAATGAATAAAACACCATTTGATAATCTGTCATTTAGAACTGTCCTTTTTTTAGGGAATTTCTTTTACCCATTTTAGATCCGACTCTCTTCTATGATGCTAAATTAGCTTGTTTATTTACTAAGAAAGGTAAGCAAGACTAGTGATTAACACATCTTTCATTTAAACATTGATCAAAACAATTTTTCTAAGGTTATACAGAATATAATCTACATTTCTACTAATTCCTATTTTTTTTAAAGTTAATGGTTTCCTTTTCCCAGAAATGTGTGAGTCAAGAAGAACATGATTTTTTTCATCATAGATCATTTTACTTTCCAAAAAACTTAAGCTTCCGTCAAAAGTTTGTTAAGTGAAGATTGATAGTCTTGAGCAAAAAGATTGATAGTACAATGTACATGTACTTTAGCAAGCATCTGATCATCTGGTCCTATCCTTATGCTAGCCTATTCCAGGCTTTGGGAGGCAGCTGGAAAGAGTAGAAAATGGCCAAATAAAGAGATAACATGCCAGGGGAGTTGGTCCACTAGAAAGTACAGTTTTTAGGTTACCAACTCCCCTGGCATGTCATCTCTCTATTTGACCAATTTCTACTGTTTCCAGCCGCCTCCTGAAGCCTGGTATAGGCTATCCTTATGCCCCAGTTCCACTCAGGTATCCTGACCAGGTGTTTGCCCATACCTGAGGTTGCAGCAGGTGAACTTTTGACCCACCTGCCTTTTGTCCAGGTTCTCACCTGTGTGCCTTACCTGAGCGAGCGGGCGGGGCGGGCACGGTCGCGCGAAAAACGTGTGTCAAAACAAGCTGCGTACAACAGACAGGCACACGGGTGGACCAACAGGGAAATATTGACAGGACAAATAGGCTGTACATGGACATTTCAGTAGAAACTCTGGTCTGGTAGAATCAGTGATTCTACTGGTAGAGATCTTGATCGGAGTCAACAGAGACTTCATTCATGGTGGTTTCCCATTTACAAATCCTAAATTTCAAATCAATCCATTGATCTATTTAAAAGTGATTCAACTTGTAGAGTTTCCCTTTGTAGTTTTTGTCAGCAGAGACTCTGATCAGGATTAGATTAGTTGATATGTTAGGGTTGGTTCCCATCAAGTTGTTCCCATTTTAAAGTTAATCCATTGATCTAATGTAGTATGTATCAAAGTTGAAAAGTTCTGACTGTCTTATGAAATTTAGAGACTACCTGACAGATAAAGATGTAAGGGTAGAGACTCCGATTTGGTAGAATTGGTGATTCTGCTGGTAGAGATGCCGACAGAGACTTCGATCGGTCCTCTTCGATCAGTTAGGGGAGTTTTCCATTGTTTGAAAACATCATAAAAACAATCATATAAGTAAATCATATTTTACTCTGATCAAGCTTTAACTTAAATGTCAAAAGCACCCTCCTGGCATGATAATTCGACTTCATGCCCCACATATTATGTACCAAAACTGTGATGTGTACATTTGATTGTGATCTGCACATAAACCCATACACAAACCAACCGTAATGTCCCTCCTGTCGACTTGAAAGACATCTGTCTTCATCATTTCCAACAACATCCATATATTTAGTTCAGGAACACAATTACTTTGAGTTGGAACTTCAATATCACTATCAGTGCCACCTGATGCCAGGGTGATTTTCTCATGGTAAAGAATCGCGGTGTCTCATTATTTTACCATTTGGTGTCATTACCCTGAACTTTCTATCACCATTACTTTGCATTTAGTGAGCTGCAGGTAAGCCTAGATCAATCAAGTTGGCATGATGGTTATGAGGGTTGTTGACTCTGAAGGTTCTGGGTTTGGAATAATCCCTGGCATGCCCCATTTATGTGCCCTTGGGAAAGGCACTTAAAACCTTTTTCCTCACTTGACTCAGGTGAAAATGATTACCTAGCTGGACACCAACAATGCATGAAAGGCTCTGACATTTACCTGTATAATCTAGCATATCAATGTGACAGACTCCTATGCAAGTTATAAACATGTTGAACAAGGCATATACATACATGTAAATGGACATAGATGGGTATTCCTGCAGAAAAAATTGTGTGTTCTTACATTTATACAAGTACCTCTAACTTGATGATATTACATGATCTTGCAAGGCAATAAATAAAGGGCCAGACTCAACTCTTCCTTCGTACTTCCTTTTATACGAGAAGAAGCCCAACCTGTGTATTAGTGTAGTTTTAGAGCTATTTGTACTACAAACATGTCTATACCTTTTCATCTGTTCACCTACCTGTACTTAGCCCAATAGGGCATGAATGTACAATAAAGGTTATTATACTATTTATTTATTACTTTCATTTTCTTCTCTCCCCTGATCTGAGTTGAAAAACATGAAAGTCTCTTGATGAAGCCAGTGCTAACAGTGCGATCATCTGTCATACTTATTGTGTAAGCCACGGGAATGTCTGTAAATAATGTGGGAGAAGATGGATGGACGTCTTTATTTGTCAGAAGCCAATGTTTGAACAGTGATGGCTTCAATTGAACTTGTGGGGAGCTCAGGTGCACATCATTGTGTGCTGGGCCATGTGAAATCATTTCAGTGGATTCTGTAATGTGGGAGAAGATGGATGGACGTCTTTATTTGTCAGAAGCCAATGTTTGAACAGTGATGGCTTCAATTGAACTTGTGGGGAGCTCAGGTGCACATCATTGTGTGCTGGGCCATGTGAAATCATTTCAGTGGATTCTTGAAATGCTGAAAGCACAAGATGGTAAATTACTGGTAAAACACAAGACAAGAGGACTCAAGAAAAATAATCTCTCACAAAGATTCAATGTGTCTTTAATGACTCTTTATTGAAATTTCATTGCTGGTACTACTGAATTGCTTTCAGTTTCCAGTAGAGGTTTTAAATTTTACAATATAAAGATAAAGATTAAAGATATGATATTACAAATATAATACAGATAACTAGCTAATGTTTAAAGTTGACATATTAAGCAAAATGCATGCAAAAAGTTTACTTTTTATCTTCTCAGGGTGCAAAGTTTATTTTGGGTATTCTCTTGATTTCCATATTTTCAGGTGGATGGTTCATGAGTGATAGAGAAGCACACAATGTCGAAAGATATTGTTTTTGTATTAATGACAAGAACACAATGTGATGACAATCCTGTTGTTTTGTCCCTCTCCAGGCCAGTACAAGGGGAGGGTAGCCTGTGATGGAGACACACTCAGACTGCGCTGTAAGAAGAACCACAGACTCGCTATCTACACAGCCATGTACGGTCGGGGACAGGACGGCAGTCTGGAGTGTCCATCTAATATACCTCAGCCACACAATGGTTAGTGTCCATCTAATATACCTCAGCCACACAACGGTTAGTGTCCCTCTAATATACCTCAGCCACACAACGGTAACAGGTTTATCCTTATCCTATATGACTTTGTCTATGTCTGGTACAGTGATGCAGTGCCCTCTAGCATATCTTAATTGAATTGCAGGCAAACAATGAGGCAATGAGGTTCAGTAGAAATGTTTGTTACTATGCTGCTTGGTACTGGAACATTAAAAAAATAAAATAAAATTGAACAAATTGATAAGGGTTCTTTATTACTTGTACCGATAGATTTCAGCCTTCTAATTCTTGTCAGCTTAATTATCTCAATCAACTTCAAAAAATCTTTAAACTTGAACTTCATCCTTTCTTGAAGACTACATGTCTTATGAGGTGATTGAGAATGACAATGTACATGTCTGTGATGTATGATTGTTTTCAGTAGTTCTACAGTTTGTTCCTGTCATATATTCTGTAAGCAGGATGACTTTAAGTCTTTAACCATAGATGTGATGTGTTAAGCTTTGTTCAATCTTAGTAACTCTTAGTTGTAGTAGACCATACGTATGAAAGTCGCTGTACTTTTGTTGAGTCAATAAACCGGTACTCAAAGGCAATGTTCCTCTGTACCCTGCTGCAGAATGCAGATCTGCGAGTGCCTTACAGAGGATAATCCAGCAGTGTCAGGGGAAGCCGCGCTGTGTGCTGGAGGCTGACAGTGGGGAATATGGAGACCCCTGTCCCCGGGGGACCAGGAAATACGTCAGCGTCATCTACACATGTGGTGAGTAGGAAGCATATCTGAACTGGAAGGATGTCGAGAGGGAGGTCGTTGGCTGAACTTGCTTGAATGCTCTGATTGCCTCTTGCGTGGGAAGAGATGGGGGCCCGTAAGTCTAAGCCTAAGCCTGAGTAGGGAGGAGATTGGGTGGAGGAATTTTTGTGTTGAATGGCTATGTGCTGAACAGAGAAGCATGTGTGCTACATGAAGGTACTGCTGTTATTATCCTTCTATGCCAGGATTTGCGTGAGAATGAGAGTAGTGGATTATAATGTCCATTTATGTATTGTACATGTAATACTTGTATTTCAAGGTGCAGCTGTAACAGTTTCCACTAGGGGGAGCTTTGTACCTGTGCCATTGGAGGAATCAGATCAGACAGATCCTTATCATTGTTAACATATGATACTATACACAAAGAAGAGGTGTGTGCATACATGTAGAGATACTTAGTGCTGTCTGGCAAGTGGCAACCCTTACGTTGTAGTATGCTGCTTTGCTTTTTTGCATTAAACTGTGAGGTTGAAGAGTTACAGGTGGAAACTGTCGGGCAATGTAACCATGGATGATCAACAGTCTGACAGGGACGTCAAGGTGGTGAAAAACTAAGACCTTCTGAGACTGATCCCCCAGTTCTTAATACCTTCCCCCAACATTTTAAGGATATTTTACCAGCGTTTTTCATTTGACAGACTTGGGTTTGAAGTATACAATGTGTGTACTATAAATTAAGGATGACAATTATGAAAAGGCTTTATCCAAGACTACTTATAGACAGGTAAAAAATGCTGGTAGCTGGTGTGCCAAAAGTATCTGGTTAAAATTCCATCCTCCTACTCTGTGTGGTAAACTCAGGGTTCAGCAACCCGAAATCCAACGCCTGCCTCGTTACAGAACGCTTTTCTAGATATCCCAACTTCCAATTAAGCCATTAGCGAACCCCAACATGTTTACTTTTTTAGTTTCATCTTCCTGCTATTTTGAAACCTGAAGAGGCCAGGAGACAGACAAGTGACCTGCTGTAACATCATCAGGGCCTGCCAGTTTCCAGCAGGTCTCACTGGTGTTTGTTGTGTCTCATGGTGCTCAGACTTGGGGAATGTTTCTCTGATGGGTGTGCCAGTGTTATACACAGGGGTGTATGCGAGAAAGTGCAAAATGGAACGAAATGGAATGAAATGTCTACAAGAAAGGCTACCTCATTTACTCCCTACTACCAGGCTTTGGAACTGGCTGGAAGAGGTAGAAATTGGGCACATAGACAGATGATATGCCAGTGAAGTTGGTCCTCTAAGGAGTAAAGTTGAGTGGCAAACTGTACTCCTTTAGTGGATCAACTCCCCTGGAATGTTATGTTTAATTTATATGGCCAATGTCTACACCATCCAGCCACTTCTGAAGTCTGGTAGTGGCTATGTTTTTGGATAAATACAACTACAGATTCCATTAGTCACTGACAAAAAGTGGTGGATGCCACTTGAAATGTCTAACAGTTTTCAAAATCTATCCAGTTGCTTGAGTAACTGTGTTCTTGTGGAGCTCCATTTCTGTACATTTCGTTCCATTTTGCTCCATTTTGGACTTTCTGTACACCAGTGATTCAGCACCAGTGATGAGGGGTGGGATGGCAGGAGTCAGGAAAGAACAACTGACAATTGTTCACACTGACCCAAACAGTCACCTTACACATGTAGTTCCTGCTGCTTAAAGTTCACATTACCTGTGCCAAAACTCTGTGCCAAGTGTCTGCCTCAGTGCTTTACATCTAGCAGTCTTATATCTTGTGAAGTTAATCAGGTACGGAATACATTGTAACACATTTTATATGATTATGATATGACAGAACCTTAGACTACTGCCCATCGTATGGTAAAAGTGATTGAACAGAAGCTTGAATTTCCTTTCCTGATTTTTCTATGGCCATCCTGATAGATGAAGAAACTTTCCTAGAGCTTGAGAATGTCTCCATACAATGTATTTGTTGAATAAAATAAGCAGAGAAATAAGACAGGAAGTTTTACATGACATGGTCCAAAACAACAATATATCTTGAGTTTGCCTAATGGCAGCAGTGCAGATGTCTTAGCAGTGACCTTAACTGTGAGCTTGGTGGGGCTTACGTGATGAGAGACAGGCTGAGCCTTAAATCAGCAGAAGATCTACGCTCTGTCTGGTTCCTCCAATCTTTTCTTCCTGAGTGCAGCCAACTGGTTGGTAAGCAAAATCAAAAATAATTCTTGATTGACAACTTTTATCTATTCTTGTTATCTATTCTACTGGTAATGCTGTCTCCTTCCTTCCATCCCTGTCTGTATTCTACAACTCTTTCTTTAGATACTGTAGAAATTAGTGCTTACAATCTTCTTGGACAATACTTTTGTTAGGTCATGCCTCAGGTTTGCCTCTTAACTTAAGAGCAAAGTGCTTATTTATTCAAAGCTAGACAAAGTTCAATATCAAGTAATCTTAAACATACAAGATGTTTTGCAACTTCAACACAGCTGTTGGCACAAGTCAAGTCAAGTCATGACATTGTAGTATGGTGTGTACTCTACTGCTTCTGTATTTACTCAACAGTGAAGGGTTTCAGTCATTTGATGAGAAACAGTCAGGTTCAGACTTGTGCCCACCTTGTGGGATACCTCAGGGTTGGATGATGTTATCTTGAAGTTCAGTGTCAGAGGGAAGTGGCTGTTCTGAAACCACAGGAAGAAAAGGCTGTGGCACTCCAGAAGATAGGAGATTATCCAGTTTGCAGGAAGTACTAGTACATGTAAGTAGCTATATAGCATTTCTCGTTGACAAGTGTTTAGATATTGTGGTTTAAGTCTTCTTGGTGGAGTGAGTGCTTGTAGAGTTGTGGTTAGTGGGGTAGTTGTGGAGCTACACAGTGACTACAGATACACTTAGGCAGATGGCAGTGGGGTCTGGGAATACATTCAAGGTACATTTTTGTAGCAGGTGAAAGATACAGAATGACAATGGCCTGACTGGTTTTCTTGATGTTTCCTGCTTTAAAAAGGTTGCTATAATACTGTTTGGTGTGGTTTCAACGTTGAATAGTTGATATGATTATGTAAGGATTGTTTTTTTGGGAAAAGAAAAATTACTTCAGCTGACAAATACCACACAAAATGGATACTAACATTTAGAGTAAGGCTAGCCAGATTTATTTGAAAAGAAAGAATGTTCATGCCCTAAATAAATAGCTCGTGACAGTTTGCAGTTTGTCAAGTGTCCAACAACAAAATCCACACGAACTCAAAAGTCCTGACATTCTGCTAGTCTCAGGTTGTGGCCCATCAACTTTCCCAGCCCCTTGGCATGCTGTGTGTTTGTAGAAGACCACAACAGGGCAGGCTGCTGTTCCCCAAAGGTATTCTGTATATCCCAGGGCGCAGTAACTTCCCCTCCCCGCAGTTTGGGCTGACATTGACAAGCTGAGGCTTGTAGCCTGAGTGATGGACAGTTGGTACAAACATAGTCTCAGAAGAAATAAACTGTTTCTGAAGAAAACTGTTTTTTTCTTCTGGATAGTCAAAATCTATCCAGTTGCTTGAGTAACAGTTTTCTTGTGTTTCCTGGATCTCTAACCTTTGTCTACATGTATGTAAAGAGATTCTTTGAGTAAGGTTCAAGAAAGTGCAAAGGAATTACTTAAAGGTTTCTTTGTCTATTTGACTTTGGATTCTTGTTTCTTGCAGCGGAAATTAGAGAGATTCATACTGCTCAAAACCAAACATGTAATGTCAGTCTTTTATTTACTTTTAGAAACTTGGGACACGTTTTTCATAAAGGGTAAACAAACCTGTCCTTCATGACGCTAACTTTGTGCACATCATTTGTCCTATTACATTACAATTTCATATTTCTATGTGTTAAGTATTTTTGGGGTTGTTGCGTTGTTGAAAACAATTACTAAATATTTTATGTACCAAAGGTGGGAATACAGCATCCGAAGTTGGGTTGATTTTGATCGTATCAAGTACAAAGTTGACCTTTCAAACATTCTCCTGTGGCGCACTGGGATCCCAACTCAACCTTCTCTCACATGCCTCTGTATGTAGGAATTCTACCAAGGAAGGCTTGCTGTCTAGGTGATGAACTCTGTCTCCAAACTAACAAGAATCGGTACAATTTACATGCCGGGCACCTGTTATCAAAGTTTCCGGGCCCCATAAAGTTGGCATTGTTACAGATGAGGACTCCTGGCCTGGCTGTACTTTGTTACTCCTGACAGGACCAACAGGTGAGAGGGACAGGAATGCTTTCATCTGTAGGTTAGGAGACCAGGGGAAACACTTGTTGCAGCTCTCGAGAGATTTCTATAACCCAGAACAGGTGAACTTGGAGGAAGGATTGGCTGGACTAAGCTGTCAGGATTGGGATTCTTCATACCCTGTTTTTGACAGACAGTTGGTGATTGTTTGTATCTCCTTGTGCTATTCTAGCTGTTACTTATGACCTATGAGATTGTTGTACATTTGCAAATTGAAGGCATTCATGGGATAGTCATGCATGTGTCAAACAAAATTCAGCTTTCTTGTTATCCCAAATGCTGTCTTTGATCCTTGTCAATTAGTTTCATTCTGCTTCAAAGGATTGAAAAAAACTTCATTTCATGTTCATCGCCACAGAATACACTTTGGCTTGGCCTCACTGTACTAATAGACTATAGCTGAGTTCCCTAGAATCATTAGAAAGATTTGGAAGAAACTGTTCTGGCCTGTATCCAGATCCCTTCTTGGCATTCTCTTTTCTCCACCAAGCTGTCAAAATTGTAGGAGGACCTATGGCATATGTAACTGGCCCTAAGTCATTTTCTTCTGTTTGATAGTAATTAGGAAGCAGTAGCTGCCAACTTGGCAGTGCCAAGCCATCAGAAAACAGAAGCCGACAAAGTAAAGTTCACACAAACTAGGCCAACTCTGTGAGGTTACGGCTCAGTGTAAAAGTGTTGTCAATGGAAAATTCACAAGCAATTCATTTTGTAAAATATCATCCTCAAAAG